AGAAATGAGAGAAGTTACCTTTTCTGTTTCTCTAAAACTCTGCCATACAGCCCAAGAGAGGTCTGCTGACCACTCACCCCAAGCATGTACTCCTCCACATACTCCAGAAAGTTTTAGATGTGAGCAGGTTTAGATTCTACTTTTACTTCTCTGTGATACTAACAGCTTTGTAGCTCCTAATCTCACAGCAAACAGCAGATATTATGGGCCAAACACTTGATCACTGGGACTATGTTAAATGGAGGTGAAAGCTACCTGTGAAAGAACAACAAACAAGCATTATCTTAGAGAAAGCCTGGTCAATGAGCATGACAAGGTAAACCTGAAAACAAATTTACAAATTACTGGCCTAGGCAGGTAAAACACAAGTTAATTTTTTTAAAACAGAAAAATGTTTAGTTCTGTTTAAAGACTCTTCCTTCTGAGATCCAGGACCCACGGTGTGAGAAGTCAGTATCTGAGTTTTTGTCATCTGGATTGAGCAGACGAGGAAGGAGAAAATACTGGCTGCATACTGTTTACAGACGCTGTTCAGGTAGCAGGACTGAGGTATGCCACTGCCACTTCCAAGAGAGTCTGTTTCTTTCCTTTACAGAAGCCAGTCAAAGAAGGAGAGAAATCGGTACAAACTTTTTTTCTGAAGCAACAGAATAGAAATAAATCTAGGGAATACCACAGCATGCTGATTTTCAGAGCCAGTATCCTCTGAAACATAACTAGAGTGAAGGTACAGCCATCCTGTTGCTTGCTAAAAGAGTATGTGACAAAGAAACAGAGATCTTGCTATAGTGCAATGATAGTAACAGACCATGCGGGAAGAAAATCCCTACTGCACTGAGAAACTCTTATCTTGGTGAGGCAGGTTGGTTAAAACTCAAATTTTCCCAGCTGTTACAGGTTAAAGCTGGATCTTTAACAATGTTTAAATGAACAAGCATTCATTATATAAATTCATTTATGTATGTTTTTAATAAACATGAAAAGCCTGTCATTGGAATAGTGGGTAACAAGTCGTAGCTATATGATAAAGAGGAAAGGCTGTAAGGAAAGGCTACAGAAAATAGTCTTGCTGCTCTGTTGAAAACCATGCTATTTACAATACCCAGGGGAGTCAAAATAGCACAGAGTCAAACATAAGCTTTGCAGTCTTTCCTTAAAGACCATTTACAGGTTACACACTCTGCTACGTTGAAGAAACACGTCTGCTCCACCGACCAGCCCTGCCTTGCCAGTGAGCATCTCCAAACTGCCCTCTTCACATGGTTAAGCCTTCAAGAGTAATAATGCTGTATCCATGGCAATAGTCAAACGTTGACCTTCCTGACTGATTCAAAAGCAATTGTTCTACTCTTCCTCAGCAGTGCTTATATTTTCATAGTTTGCAAGAGCAGCAATATCCTGCAGTACCTTACCAGCCATGTGAGGAGGAGGAGGTAAGAGGAGGAGCCCGCTATGAGGTCTCCAGTTATTAACTCCTGTGTGAATACATGACCAGGGCTGTGGCCGCCAAGGTAGGTGTCAAAATGTCCGTACTGGCAGCAACAGCAGTTCACCAGGTTGCTACACCTCCCTACAAGGCTCACCTGTGCCTGGAGATGGGAATGTGTCTTCCCAGGGCCCATCTGCCGGGCTCTCAAGGCGGTGACAACACGGGCAAGCAAGACTTCAGAAAAAGAGGAAAAAAAAAATAAATCTGAGTCGGATTATAAATATTTCAGTGGTGATATGCACGCCAAAACCCGTCAGCGGCACCGGCACAGGCTCTCGGTGGCCGCGCCATCCTGGCGGCTGACACCAGGCCGTGAGGCAGCCTCGGAGGTCCCGGGGCAGGAGCCGCGGGGGATGGAAACGGGCAGGCGGGGGATGGAAACGGGCCACAGCCCTGCTGCCACCCTCCTCTCCCCTGCGGGGGCCGCGTTTGCTCTGCGGTGCCCCTGTACGCGCCCCGGCACCCCCTTCCCCTCAGCCCGGCCGTCCCTCTCCCCCCTCCC